TTTGAGCAAAGATGAATTCAAAGCATTCAAACAAGGATATCCCGAAGTAAAATTCAGGGTCAAGGACTTGATGTTTGACATTTCCATCTCGACGGAAGTCAAGCTTTGGAACCCCAATAGGGACACACAGTTCAAGGTCGAGCTCGTGCACCCGTCTTGGACGCAGCAAATCAGCGGATCTCCTTTCACGATCGCGCAACTACGAGAAGCCCAAGCCGACTATCTGCCAGTAGTTCTTCGCAATGGACGTAAACGCAAGAGAGGTTGAGCGATCGCTACGAGTCTCCGGATCGATCACCTAATACACGATCTAATCCTTGTTCTGGTTGGATCTGTAGTCATCACACACACATATACTGAACTTTGATCAACATGCGTTGCATTCTCGAAACCCATATCATAACATATCCTTTCCCCATTGCTCCTGCACTCATGCTCGCGGTGTCTCGACCGTCCTTGATGTATATACTGGGGTCTTTCTTCGCGTCCCAAATACTAAACCACAGTTGCATGTTGAATGTGTGAGAGTCTCCCAATTGCCTAGACTCTCTGATGCCATGGTCATTGTGGGCGTAAAAGGATGAGTCAGCCGATGTCGATTCACAGAGAATGATCGTAATGCTTTATGTGATATCGACGAACTTCTACATGGATATATATCTACTGTCTCGCAGTAACCTTTGTTTTTACAAGTGGTGGAAAATTCCACCTGCACCTAGGAACCACCAGGAGGACTCGTTTGATGGGCGATAGTCCTCATGTCTGGAGAGTACCAGAGAAGACAAGGGGCGCTCTCCTGTTGCTCACGTCCATAGTGCGAAACCCTCGTTCGAGAGACGACAGCCTCAATGTCTTCAGAGCACAAGAGAAGATGAGAGGAGCAGTCCGGATCTTGAAGTGGATTGTGCGTCACATCAAAAAGAGACCGAATCCATGTGTTGCAGGCTTTCACTTCAGTCGCCTGATAAATGCGGCAAAAGAGAGTCTGGAAATGATGGAAACGATTCCGAGGGAAGGACTCGAGGTTCAGAAGGAAGCAGTCAAACTGCATTATTACATATATGAAGCAAAGAAGTACATAACAGAGGGATCCGAAGAAGACGAATCATCTAAGTGGACCGAGAAGTCCTCGCAAGACCTGACATGCTGTATCGAGGATGCAAGGATATTGATCTCAGAAGTCTCGCAAACGATTGTTAAGGAGAGGCACAAGGGCGGAATATATGCTTTAGGATTTTACAGTAAGGTATGGTGATAGTGATGGCCAGGGGTATTGTTCGACTTCAACTACAATGATGTTGATTCTTGCACGAATCTAAGCTTAGCAAATCAGAGTTCCATCTCTGATCTAGTCTGACAGAAAGGATCGATGCTTGCAAACTCAACGTTACTCTCTGGATCAGGCACAGTTCCCTGCTCATCCTGTTCTCCAGATTCAATAGGGTCAGTTGGAAAGTGGTTCTGACGCGTTGAGGAGGGCTCCGCGTCGAGTGCTTGTTGTTGGTGGTCATGTGCTACGCAGATCTTACCATCTGCAAAGACCGTAGAAGATTGTATCGATACATCTGGCAAGATGGAGTCGGGACTTACTATGCGCTGAGAGCTGCTGGGAACCAAGCTAAAGGTCGTACCACTCGATTCATCATTCCTTGCAGGAGCGACGAATATGTGTTCGTCTTCCACGCTCCTTGCATCGGGCAGACGATTTTCTTTTATCAACTCTACATCGTCACTGTCAACGAGAGATCGCACACCCTGTTTCAGCCCATTGTCCTCGGTATCACGGCTCAAACGATCTCCATCCATACCAGAAGATGTTCTGCCATCGTGCTGACTGTTGACCAGGGAATTCTGCGGTTGAGTCAAGTTGTGTACTTGCAAATTGTGTCCCACTTGCGATGCAGGAGACTGGCTTCTCTCAATCAGATGGAGCGGTACCGCGATATCTACCTCTTCGATGTCGCCACCGGTCGGCAAGATCATACTGTCTTGGCCAACAGATTCAATTGGTTGAGCAGATCTACCATACATGGAAGTCCGGCTTATGATATTGCTCATGTGAGAAGGGTGCATGCGTCTGGTCCCGGTCTCTTCGTTGAGCTTTTCAGGTGTGACCTGTCCTCGCGAGACTGGTTCTAGATTACGACTGTCGCGATCAGTGTGGTTTTCTGCCTTATGCCCTTCCCTACTTGTTGTGCGTGGTGACATTGAGAGCTGTCTGGGGTTTTCCTGATCATGTAGCTGCTCCATGGTACCTGGCCGCTTCTCAACCTCCAAAGAAGCGGAGTCTTGTGCAGTAAGACTGGGCAGAAACGCGGAGGCGGAGATTTCTTCTCTGCTAGGATATTGTGGAGCCCCATCGCTGAGAATGAACGTGGAACTATCCTCGTATCTTCCATTGAATCTGGTCTCTAAGTGGCGTAATTCAGAACGTACTTCCTTCCGTGCATTATCGATGATGTACAGATTCATCTGTTTTGCCGCCTTATACTCTTGTACTCTAGATCGCCAAACGCTTTTGACGGACTCTACATCACTCTCATTGAGGTTCGCAGCATTGTCTGTATCATAGTTGGGTCCGGATGCATGATCTTCCTGAGGACCGGAGGGCTGATCATCAGAAGTAGGAGAATCTGCCATCTGGATGTCGGCCACACTCGTGATCCTCTCATCCTCACCATAAAAAGGATCCGGATTATGATCATTCCCAGTGCGCTCTAGAGCCACTGTCAGTCTTGGGGCTTTCATTTTGATGCCCTGATGCCCCACAGTATCCTCCCCTCTTGGCCTCTTCTCACCACATCTTCTCTCTGGTGGTAGTGATGAAGGCTGCTCCGGATTCCTCTCTTTCGTTAGGACATCAGTAGCGCTCATTTGGAAGCCCTGGTACCCTTTCGAGGGAGGCTGAGCGATGTTCTGTCGATGTGTTGAGGCTTGTGGATGCGAGGCAGGCCTCTGAGTAGGGAAACCAGTTGCCGTCTGACCACAGTGCGCCGCGGGAGACGCAGTATCTGACTGGACATGATGGTTCTCCGAAGACTCAATCTGTCTTTCTGGTTCTGCAATAGAGTCCTGTAGAGTGCTGTATCTCAGTTTGGTATGATACGACGTTCCCACTCCATCTTGTCCATCAGTAGTCGAATTAGAGGTGGGATCCGTATCAGTTATCATCGTGTTGATTGAAGAAACCGATAGTCTGGGAGGAATTCTGGCTAAGAGTTCAGTTTCTGTGACTGGTCCATCGGTATTGCCAAGGTGAACACCCTTCCCCGACCCTGGCCGGAGCAAAGGCGACTGGAGTGGTGGAATGACAGGGTCCGCTGTTTTATGTGTGAAATTGCCGCGTTCTTGACTCCCTTGCTGGGACACAGCTTCTGTGTCACTCACACCGCTATAGCCTTGAGCGATGGCATTGGTAGTATCGCCAGAACGACAGTCGCCAGAGTCGTCCCGAGACAGCTCCAAATGCGCATGGTGCGTACCGGATAATGGTGTTTTAGTGGCATCAAGATGGGGTGGACCCTGTCGGTTTCGCTTTGACCGATCACGCCTTTTGTTCCTGTGCACTTCTCCTACTCCCTTGAGTTTCTCTTCCTTCCGCTTTCTGCGATCCTTCGCCGAAACGTGATTCTTGTGAAAACCCGTTGGCAGTCTTCGTGTCAACTCAGTCTCCTGGGTGCTTTGATGGTCTTCTAAGTGTGACGAGCCTTGAGACATGATACTACCCGTGTGGAACGAAAGCTCACTTTCCGCAGCCTTCTTAAGTCCTGTCTCGCGGCTCTCTAGATAGGGCTCGTCTGGTTTCTTTTCGCTTTTCTGTTCTTTTTCTCGACGTTGTATAGGATCCATGTGTTGAGCGTTTGAGCTGTTGATCGCTCTATTCTCGAGCGACACTATTGTCTTTCCAATTGACATAAGTGCTGTCTGGCTGGTGTCATCCGACGAGCTGTTCAGCAGAGGGTCGACTTCACCTGAGGCAACTGATGGCTGCCCCTGCAAACATTCGCTTCTTGAGGCAGTGTCGGTGCTTTCAAGTGGTGAACCTCCTTCGAACATACTTCTCTGCGTCTGAATATTGTCTATAGGCACATGATGAGACACCTCCGCAACGCTCTGTTGGATTTTAACAAGATTTTCTTCTTGTATCTCTACGATCCGCTGCATCCGGGCCTGGTTGGGCGTTGGAGTGGCTCTTACACTGGTCGAATCGCCGTTGCTGGGTTTAGCTGTGCCCAGACTGTCCGAGGTGATTGGTTCCCCGCAACCATAATCTGCAGTCGTTGCTAAGGACTGCTCGCGCACACAACTTATGGGCTGGTTGTGATGATCGAGGGACGTAGCCGAGTGAACCACTACAGGCTCTGTTCCCCGCATGTTGATGGGAATGGAACTATTCCCGTCCGGTGAGATACTCTCGCAGATTTGCAGGTTCCAGACCGCTTCCTGCACATGTGCAGGACTAATGGCGTGCTTTTCATCTTTCCCACCACACAAGTTGACTATCTCAGGTATCCACATTCCTTCCACATCCGCAGTTCTCCAAGCACTATGCAGATGTCTGTTCGATACGAATGTTCCTGGGAGTCTTCTCTTTGCAAATCTTGCTCCTTGTATCCGTGTAATCGTCGGATGGTTGAATCTATGCCTGCTCTGTGGTCTGCTCCTACTGGTTCGTGTCACCTCGAGCGATGGTCTAAAGTCTATGATAAAATGCGTTTCCTTGGGACTGGGAGCGTGTGGAAAGGTCCTGTTGGTTGTGGCGTCGTCCAGAGGTACCGACTGACGCACCAATTTTCGTTCATTTTCACTTTGTCTAAGCTCGTCGACGCCATGTCCACCCTGAGTCTGGGACGAACTGGATCCACGCTCCGGCCAGGACGCTGATGGTATGGAGTAGCCGGAACGATTGGACTTGTCTAAGGTCAGGTCGTCCCTGCGACTTTCCCCAAAGGTTCGGAATTGGGTTTCGTGAGCTGGAGTGGAAGTGACATATCCAGTTCCATCCAAGGCTTCCGGTACATCGACAGCACGCCGAGATCTCTCTAGGGTGCCATATGGTCCATCGCTCTCTACGAAGTCGGCTCGCTTATCCTGTAGATCCAGCGGAATCTCCGTGATCTCTGAACCATCCTGTAGTTTTCCAAGTTTCTCGCCAATTTCGTGGAGATACTGCGCTGCTTGCTTCAGACTCGTCACTGCTTCCTCTGAAATTGGTGGCTTCGAGACCATGGCATCGAGCTGGGACTTGACTCCTGTTAGATTGATCACTTGTTGATCTTGGAACGCCTGAGTCTTCTCATTCATTCCAAGTTGCATCTGCATGTGTTCGATCAGCGTTTGCTGCATCTGCGTGTGTTTAGTCAGGGTTTGCTGTATCTGTTTGAACCCAGTCAGTAAATGTCGCATCGCAAACAATGTCTAAGCTACAGACTTGTGAGATTCCTTCTTTGATATTCGCCTGCATCTGACTCTCAGCTTCATCCCGCATGTTGGGCAAGATATCTTTGGATTGTGTTTCGGGACTACCATCCTGCTGTGAATCGAAAGCTCTTCGAAGATCTCGCACTTCCTGCTCCAGCCTCATCGCATGCTTTTGCATGTTTGAAAATTTCCCGAGGATATCGGATCTGAGCTGTAAATATCTGTCAGCACACGCTACTTAGTAGGTATCACCTTGAGCCACAAACTTTGTCAACATTCTGCATCTGACTCTGAGCCATCTGGGCTGAATTCTCCCTCCATTTCCTCGAAAGCTTGTTTGTGACTTCCATACCCATTTTTTGGACACTCTTGAGTTCATCAACTATTCCGAGACCGGCACGGGCGAAACGATCTCTCAACTGTTTTTCGACTCTATCAAGACGTTTGATCGTCGCGTCGTACGATGTCTGCAAATCTCTTTGTGTTCGCGACTCGATTGCTTCGACTATCTCCTTCCGATCCGACAACGATACATCAGATGACTCTTGCCGTATTCTGGAGATCGCTAACTCAAGTTTTCTGCCAACTTCCACTTGCTGGCCCGATAGGTGATTGTAGAAACCGGAGAGAATATCTTCTTGCTTCTGCATTGTAAGCGTATCCTCGCACTTACAAGACCTTGCAGTCAGTATCTCTTTTACGGTCTCGATTATCCGCGCACTATGCTCTGCGTAGAGTGAAGAGCACATCTGCTCTGTCATTAGGCCATCCCTAGGATTTGGTACACGCGAGGCTTCGGCGATTTTGGCCAACAGACTTTCTTGACGGTTCCGGTCCTATGGAGATTCAGCTTGTTTGTTCTAAAGTACTCAATCAGTATCCATCCTCAATTATGGTTACCTCTTCAGTAATTGCAAACAGTTCTTTCCTCAATCTTATTACCTCTGCAACAACTGCATCTAGCATACCTTTCTCGCCCTTTCTCGAATCCCAGGAGTCCCTGTATCGTGAAGCAGACTTGTCATTCTCTCGAGATCCAGGTTCAAAGCCAGTCCGCTGTTCTTCGAATGGCGTAAACTTGACACCACCCTCGCTATCCGTAATGGATGGACTAGTGTCCAATGCAGCGACGCTGTCCATGTCAACAGTCTCCATGGCTGGCGGTGTTGTTGCAGGAACGCAGGATGAACCTCTGAGACAATCATCTGTGTCGGTAGTTAAGTCCGCCGCTGGGCGCTCTCCATCATTGATCTGCCACGCTGTCTCAGTCGCACTGGTCGTGCTGCCATGGTTCGGCGGGACTACAGTCTCGGCACAACCTTCACTCGATCCCCTGTTTGTCGGCTCATTTGACTCTAGTCCGCTGTTTGCAATGAGGAGATTATGGTAATCTAGCTTCAGGTTGTGACAACGTACCTCCTCTTCGTGGAGTGGGATGAGAGGAGGCGCCGGAGAGTTTGATACCGCCTTCTGGCTCTCTTTTACCGGTTCCAGATCCATATACTTGAGCAGCTTGTTCAGATGTCTCTTCTTAATAGGTCTTTCGGGACACATACCAACTTTCCCCCAATTTCCAAGGTTCATATCCTTGAATATCAGACGACTAAAAAGAGGGGCGGCGTCCGTCCTCCATACGGTGAGCTGAGAAGCAATCTTCGCGAGAGCCCCAAGAAAGCGACCACTCTCCTTGTCCCATTGGTAATGAT